GTTCCCGGTGTTAAATGACCGAGAGAATATAACGTAAAACTACGGATATTTTCGGGAAGGACCAGCTAACGTTGAGAAATTCCTGGTCAAAGAATCTAGTCAATCAAAGTAATGTGTCTCCACTGCCTTTTTACCTCGTACCAAGACCCCGCCGGTTAACAAGGACAAGCAGCTCTGGGGACTACTGCCTCACTGTTACAGCAAGCCAAACTAAAGAATAGTTGGTAGAGGGTTCCCCTCTATCAACTAAACCCAAACCAATCCTGTGGAGGTTAAACTCTTTTCTTGTGTTAACAATAAATGATAAATTCGCATGGCTGCTGGCCGCGGCGCCGCGTGAGTGAAAACGCTCTACACAATGAGGGCAGAGCAGCGACTACTAATGATCCTACGCTGCGAGCAGTCTCTGTCTTTTCCTAGCGTGCTATGAGTTTCGTGTCCTAGTGTGTGACTCGCGTGCGATGAGCGATCAAGCGGCCGAGCCGCAAGCGAGTCACGAGAAGCGCGGCCGCGGAGGGAAAGGAGCATTGCCTCCTCGTTTCTTTCCCTCATTTGCATAATCTTTACTCAGTCTTTCAGGAACAAAAACCGACTACTCGTACTGTCATGATCCACGAGGGCGGGAGGGCATGACCGCAGCCTAATATCATGTTTCCTTTCTGTTGAGGCTGGCTTACATATGATCGCTAAGATGGCAGCCAAAAAACGTTCAGCGATCGCAGCGACAGACTCTTCAGTTTTATCTCAATGATCGTAGCGTGCATACGGAAACGCACGTGAAAGCTGAAGTTAGCGAATAAAGCGCAAGCGCGAACGACAAGAGGATGATGGGAGAGGCGAGCAAGCGACGCGAGCTCACCCCCTACCCTGTCAAGTCTCACTTTTGCGCTGGCGTCCAGTCCTCTCGCGATTCTACCCTCGCGTTCAATGATCGAATGAAACTACGAGAAAATAGAGGGCTGTGAACGGTCTAGGAAACCGGTAGTCATCGGGATCGCCATTGCAATGTAGCAATTGCAACACAACTTCACACCAGCCTTTTCGATGCTGTTTTCTGTGATCCAAGCTGCATGACCTAATTAATCATTTTCGATAGCGCAGGTCCACATCAGGACTTGACGTATTGCCAATTCCTCTACCTGCTTCGTCAAATAATAAGTACGTACGTACGTATGTATGTCTACTCTCGGGGAGACAGTGCTTATGAATGCTTTTAAAAACGGCACCACACAACAACAGAGACTCCAATTATAGTAAATCTTCTGATTTATATTTTTATTTCATTATGCTCGGTACTTTCCAGCATTGAAGGTTGATTAAAAACAAAATTACAAAGAAACCTACAGTTTTTAAATTTACTTTCTTTCCCGCTTAGGTATCCTGCAAATGCAGAAGGATTTGCCCGTGTTGTGACACAAACAGCGCACAAAAATTCATCTACGATTAGGCATGACACTAAGCAGTTCCAATATAGTGGATTGAAGATTGAATCTAATGTCAAAAAAACACACTAAAATATCATTTAATCATATCCGTTGAATCCAAAGTATTTCGTCGTTCCTTTTACACAGCATCACTGGAAACATGGTGCCACTCTGAAAACAGCGAAACTGAAAATCAGAAATTCCATCGGCAGAGTTGCACAGTTACTGACATGTAGACAACCAAGGAAACTCTCAAACAAGGATATTCTTTCTTGAGTGGGAAAACGGGCAAAGAAATACTTTTATACGAGAAAATTCTACTGCAAAGGAATATGCCACTACAAAACGAGGCAACGATGTGGACTGAGCATGCGCAACCCTGTTTTCCCGTTGACCAAACGGGAAAAGATTTGTTACGTAAGAAATGATTCTGAGAAAAAATATATCAAAATAGTTAACTCAGGAATCGCACGTGACTACGTTAGTTTGAGTCGTTTGAATGTCTCAGTAGCTGAACTGTCCTAGGTTAGTGGATTAACAGTCTTGCAGTCAACAAAGAGCAGTACCTCAGTTGAAGGCTTTGTGGAATTCACTGACTTCCTTTCCTTCTTCGACAACGGTGACGGGTTGACAAGGGTTAGCACTGCCTTTTAGGTAGTTCTGTTGGAAGAAAAACAAAACAAGCACACACGATAAAAAGATGAGCGCAGAAACAACTTTTGAAAACGTAGCTGTAATAGAAACAGAGCAAAAAAAAACTACGAACGTTTAAGGCTGGTTTTCAGTGTTGTCTAAGCAACATACACTGACGCAAGTACTGCTGTGAGTCAGTAGCGACGTTTGTTTGGAAATTTTCCCAACAACACTGTTATAGGTGTAGAGAATAAACGGCGGGACTACGAAGTCGAATTTCAAATAAAAGCCAACGCTGTTTGCTTGCTTGCTGTTTAAGGATGATTTCCAGTCCGTACTGCGCATTCTCGAGAATTTGTTTCCGTTT